GTATGTATATCTGCCATGTGGAATTTCCACGGGTGTTTTACACAGTGCTCTCTTGGATCTTGTTGGATTTTTGTGTCGGACGTCTTACGTTGAAAATTACGTGATTGCGCGCGCGACAATCGGTGAATCGCTTGTGTCACGTGCATGCAGACTTCCGGAAAGTTTTGCTAATTCGAACAATTTAAGTGAAAAGTCGAAACATGATCAACGCATATAAGTGAAGGTCATATTGATCAAAGTGGATCTTAACTTATGCTGGTCAGTTCAAATTTATTATACGACCGTAACGTTTGGATCAAAATATTTATAAAGTTATATAAAAAAATAAAAAAAATCTTCACAGAAGGAACAGCTTACATTAACAGAAGAACTCATCAAATGCCGGAGAACAATTTTTTATAAAATCTTAGTAAGAAAATTAATTATGTTTTAGGTCAAATAGATCAGAAATAACAGAGATCAGCAGAGTTAATAATAATAATATTTTACGTTGAAGCACCACGATTTCTTTCGATCAAATATGCCCTTCTTCACTTATTTGTGTTTGCTAATGTTTTCGCAAGCTGCTACAGGTAGCGGAGTTTAATTAAGATAACAATCAATCTTAAATGTCGCGAGTAAAATATATAATAGTATGTTACATATGAAGTTGGAGTTTCATGCCAAATGCGCGATAGAAATTATAAAATTGCTACATCGGAATATTTGTGTGTTATAAGAAGTGTTATAAGAAGCCTCGCGAATGTGGAAGTTTGAACTCGTCGATATATAAAGTTCCTCGCGTGCGTTGGATATTGAAAAAAACAATAACAAACGCTTCTATATCTTTAACATAATGTACAATTTCAATCATCGCGCGCTCAATGTGAATGGCAGAAAGATATTAACATGAATTAAATTATATATCGACATTGTCGATATATAATCTAAAATTTTTATGATCAATTGAGATTGGCATTGTTTTACGTTGCGCATTTACAACTGTTACATGCTTTTATAAATGCCAATCACAGTCAATCACAGAATATATCAAATAATGCTACTTTCTACGCCGGTTTCTCGGTCAATGACTTTCTAGCAAAACAATTCCACGCCAGCTATATCGATTTTTAAATTGGTTGCGTGTAGCAAACACATGAAATAGCTTCTTACGGGATGGAATGCATTCGCGATATACAGTCCAGGGGTTTTAGAAAACTCATCGCAAAACATACGAAGTGATATATGTAGAGTTCACAAAAATGAAATTCGAAGAAATACATGCGAAGAAATACAAACATGGATAAAACGCACAACATACGAGTCACGTATAAAGTCACGAATTATTTCCAAATATTAAATAATTAATATATTGTGTAATTAACTAATATATTTTAGTCACAATTTGGTGACACCATTAAATGCTACCGTTAAAATTTATTGCGTTCGCCCCGGCTAATTTCCCTTCCCGTCTAAATTATGAATTTTTCATCATGGCGTACGTTTTGAAAAATGGCTCTTGCGCTCGACTGCGCCAATTAATCTTGCGTAAACGAGAAAAATGTGCGCGGCGTGTTTCAAACTATATGTGAAAGGGGAGCGGTTAACGAGCTGATAAATGCGCGGAGGCTTTGGTTCGACCGTGCCGCGAACCTTGAACTTATCGACCAGCCTGTATTTATATTGTAACGACCCAAAAATCGAGTCAAGGACCAGTGAGGAAAAACGACAGGATCGTTTGGGTTCCAACGCTGTACACACGCACATGGTGCATGCGTGGACTACGTTCACCAGGACGTAACATTGAACTGTGGTTTCATGACTGAAAAAAGAGGAAAACATATTGAGAGCCTTGTCAAGTATAAATTCACCTCTACTTTCATCTTTATTTGAGTTATGTTACCATCGACAAAATAATTCCCTATAATGATTAAATGTCACAATTTCGGGCGCGCGGTAGAGAATACATGTGCGTAACGTAATTCGATCGAGAAATTGTCAAACAAGAGTCTTACCGTGAAATATGTATTTTTGTGTGTGTGTGTGTGTGTGTGTGTGTATCTAAAATGAGCTTGCTATCGGAAAACCAGAGAAATCACAATAAATGAAAAATAAAAACACGTCTATTATTAGTAGTTCGACTTCTTTGAAGTTGCAATGGGTGACAGTTAGAGTATGTGTAGGAATCGAGAAAAGGTCTATGTATGTGTACTACCGCCCTTGTAGTGTCTGCAGTAATCTGTCTTCGTTTTTGATATGCTAGACAGAACAAGATTGGTGCGTTAGACTTCAAAGGAATCTAATAGACAAGACAAATATCCCGACAAAAAGATTTTTACTTTGTCGAAACTCTGAGAAAAAATTGTAAATAAAAACGTAAAATCGGTTGAAATTGATAGTGCAAAAGATATTCGAAAAACTTTCGCATTTTTATGCACGAATTAATGTCAATCATATCTTTAACACTTTAAAACAGAAATAAGCTCAGGACGCTCTTTTGCATACATTATCAAGTTACTCGCCTCGATCTCCAAGAGTATCCACTGCCGACTTGCACTTTGGAAAGAGAAAGGATCCCAACGGGATATCGCGCGACCATCATAGAATCACGATTATTCGCGCGGGAGACGCGAAACGCGACGTGAGTGCCTCGACGTAGCTCTGCTTAACAAATAAATATCTTATTCAAGATAGTATTAGATTTAATAAAAAATCTTGTGAGTGTGACGATTGATTAAAAAAGATTACTTAAATTCACTTAAATTGCAATAGCAAATTATCAGTTTGCGAATTTAATTGGAGTACTTAATGGTGTAGTGAAGAAATATTTTACTTAACGCATTATATTTTTATGTACATTATTTCATATTATTGTAGAAATGTTGTACACAAATTCGTGATCGGAATTGAGTTGTGTTTCGGTTAATTATATTTTGGCATGTTGTGAATGCGTTGTGGATTTTTTTAGAGATCTTTCCCTAATTGTGAGATAAAATTTGTGGTTCACAATGAAGGTAAGATAATAGTAAATAAATTTTCATGTTATTTCCTCTATTTTTTTATGTTACTAATACATATATTCTACATAGGATGTAAAATAATTCTTTAGTTTCATAATACTGTCATTTATTTGTTAAATAAATCTGACGTGAAAACTTGTTTTATCTTTATTTAATTTTATCGATTTTCGAAAAGAATAAACTAGCTTAGTTTTCAATTTAGTTTTAATTTTAGTTTTTTTTTTTAGTTTTGTTTTTAAATAAATTTCTAAAGAATCGCGTTAAATTAAAAAATATACTTTAAGCTGAAAGCAAGTCCGATGCAAATATTTCCATAAATGGCAACGGCGGAAAAGCTATGTTGTAATTACCTCAATTACAGCAATTATTATGTAGCGCAACTGCAGTCGAGGTAATGTCAATCTTTATAGAATCACGCTACGCGGAAATGCTTTGTCTGTCCGTATGTATCTCCGTGCATAAAAGAGAATATCTTTATTTTATTCCAATTAATATTCCAGTTGATCTTCTGCGACGTTACACGTTTATGCAAATTTTTGCACAAAATAACAGCGCACAACAGAATATTGCACGAAATAATATTTCACATTTTGTGCGATAATTGAAAATAATCTGTGTGCCGGGAATCGAAGCGGCTCTATCTGAAACGGAATTGAAAATGAAGAAACGAGAAAAGAAACTTTTACACTGAGCCAATCTTATTAGGGTGGGTAACGCTCCAAACAAATTGGGAAATTACCGACGGTATCAAAGAACGAGCCGTCATTGACCAACTCGACGCTGGGAACGCGGACTCTCACGGGGGAAGCGGGATCGGTCGATGGATAGTACCTACGTGGGCGTCGCGACGCCGGCGCCGATACGAAGCTCACAGGTGGTCGCCACGCAGTCTGGCCGTGTTTCGTGTCGGGTGCCGTGCTGTACCGCGGTAGCGCCTCGGCGAGCTACCGGCTTTTTCGAGGTCCACGACCGAGCGGGGACTGCGAATCGATCCGCGGCCACTTCCGGCTTCCGTTTGTTGTGACGCCCGCTCGCTCGCGCGCGCGGTTCACCCCGGCGAAAGCAATAACCTCGCCCCCGCGACCTTTGTACATGTGTGCGATTCGATTGTCTCTCACCCCGCGAGAGTCGCACTGTCGCCGCGAGTATCTTCGCCATCGTGAGCTACCCCGCATGTAAGCTCGCTGACTTCCGGCCACGCGCGTCGACGTCGCCCGAATGCGCCGGTGGAATTTCGCTGATATAGTGAGCCAATTTGTGATCAAACCTATCCGGAGTAATTATGATAGTGAGATGAATGCGCTGTCGTAACACTGCTCAACGATAACCATTAATGAACCATCGCCTTTTGTCACTCTCATAATTATTCAATTAACAGACGACTGTTGATCTTTGACCCTCCGATGTCAAAATCTGTGACACAGTTACTAACGCTGAATCTCCATGAGATCCATGTATATCCATTTAATTTATGTTGACTAAAAGGCATTAATTTTATTAATTTTAAGGAAGTAAAATGACATAAAAAAATCGTAGGAAAAAGAATGTGTGCGGATGGATATTAAATTTATTTTAATAACAATAATTCAATACAGATGTGTAACGTAAAGAATATCATTGAGTAGGAGACCCACCGTTACTTTCAGAGGAGCAAATAATATAACAGTTATGTTGAGAGAAATTTATTCTATAAAAAGTATTGGATAAAGATGCAATAATGGCTAACTAATAATAAATAGCGACCGTGACTTGAAGTTATTTTCTTCAATCGAAATATACTAATAATTCAGTGAATTATATCTGACTGTCTGAGAGAGCTGGAACATTATACGTCAGACTTGTCTCTCAATATGCTT